TTTCTCTTTCGTTGCAGATATTATGGAATTCTGGGTTTTTCTTACCAAATCAGGACCATTTGTTTATTATAAATTTGCATGAACATTGAAAGATATATATGGCATCAAATTTATCTCACACGTTACCTGTAAATGGGCTAAATCTAACAAAAAAACAATTAACCGTCCATCTTTAAAATTTTCCCAAATTCTGAGGGACTCAAATAACTTTCCAAGTTGGTTTGAACCATGGTTCTAAATATCTATCAATACGTCGACATTTCATTCGACATGTCCATATTTTGATGAATTCAACATCGACATTTCCATCATAGTACAAAAAATCGACAAAATATGAAAAATATCAACAAAATACCATTAATTTATACATAATATCAATGCTAATGATCTTTTAACTTATTTATAAATATGAAAATGTTTATTTGTTAATTTATATATTTTTTATGATTTTTTAATTTCTATAATTTTTACAGAAACATCCATCGGTATTTCCATCGACATCGACAACGACCGATGTTTATCCCTAATAAGAACTTTTTAGAAGACTATTATTTCTAGCATGGCACATGGTATCTTAATTTTATTTTATCATATATTAATGTGAATTTGAATTTTAAAAAAGTTAAGCATATATCAAATATTTCATTTTCCAACGTGGACTTACCTTTTTTTTTCTTTTTTTTTATAAGAACTTAAAAACATCAGTGGTCCTTGTTAAGAATAAAAATAAATAAAAGTTATTTATTTATTTATTTTTTTGAAATCCAAGGTTTACGTGGGATGTGTGAGTTTGTGACAATGATTTGCTACTCATTTAAATATATTCATAATCATAGAAATGGACTTGTGATAAAAATGTGAAGAGTGAGAATTATGAAAAGTTGAAAATAAAAAATCATACGTTTATTTCTAAAAACTAATTATAAGATTTATGACTTTATTTTATAATAATTAGAGATGGTAAATATACCCGCGGGACCTGATCCCCACAGGACCCGATCCCCGCGGGTACCTGACTTAATCGGGTCGGGGACGGGGATTGGTCCCCCCGCCCCGTCCCCGACCCCGACCCCGTTTAATTTTTTTTTCTATTTTTATTATATAATAATATTAATATATATTAATTTTATAAATACTTTTTAATTTTTTTTAAATAAAAACTCAAACTAATAACCCATTTAACCATTTTTTTCACTTTTTACCTACTTTTTATACTAATAATAACAAAAATTAATTAAAAAAACTAAAAATTAAATTAAAAAATTTTAAAAATATATTTATAACAGGGACGGGTTACCCGCGAATCCCCACCCCCAAAATTTCGGGGATTGCCATCCCTAATTATAATTAATCATGGAATTTTAAAAACTTTAGAAATTATCTATAATATATAAAAGTAAAACCGTACATAAATTATAGATGTCCCTAATTAAAAATTTTGATCAATATCGTCCATAAAATATTTCTTCCACATCCGTATTTTTATATAGATTATAGATTATCAAATCAACTAATTAGAACATTTTTAGAATTGCTTTTGGCATGATTAAAATTACTTTTACTCGTACCAAATTCACTACCATTTTAAAATATAATGTTTGATAATTCATAAGTGATTTTGAAAAAATCCAAAATCACTCTAATTGATTCTCGGTCAATTACTTGGAGGGTGATTCTGATCTCTAAGTGAATTTTTGACAATAATAATAATAATAATAATAATATAAATATGGTTTCTAAATTGATTATTGTTTTAATTTAAAATTATCTTTCTATTCATCTTATTTTCACCTTACATTTTGAGAAATTTTTTCTTCTCTTTACTAAATTTTGTTGTCGCTATCTAACTTTATTTATCATTAAATTATCCTCTCTCTAAAATTTTTGTAAACTCTCTCTAAAATCTTTAATTTCAATTTATTTTCTAACTTTATTTCTCAGTCTAAAATTTCTTCGCTTAAAATTTTTGTTTCTCTCTAATTTTTGTTTCTCTAAAAATTTTGTCAAATTATATCTATAAAAATCACTTGAAAGAATAGGTAAAACATTGAAATAATTATATAAAAATCACTTTCACAAAATCAACCAGGATTAAATCTCTTTTTGCTAAGATTACTCGTTCTAAAATCATTCCCAACCATGGGGAAGGCCTGAGAATGTGAGTGATTTGGGAGAATTTCGGACAAATTTAGATGACTGCATTCAACTTCAACCTGATGAATTTGGGTTTCACAAAGGCCAATCTTCAGTCAGTCCAATTTTGAAAATACTACATAGGTTGGTTTATTGGGCAATAAAGACTTGGTAAATCTCATCCTCCTAGCCAAGTCCAACATTTAGATTTTGGGAATTCTGATCACAAAGCCATTATAAACCTAGAAACATACTTATTCATAGTAATGGCACTGAGGGCTTTAAGCTAGAAGGGGATGCTTGGTTACATAACCTAAAACAAGAATTAGATCTATCCTAAGACTCCAAGTTTGAGGAAAAATCTGACCTCCTAATCAATTTTATCAAGCTATAGTTACATAAATAAAAGATGAATATAAATTTACTATGTACCTTGTCCAAGATTGATATAGAGCAAGCTCTCAAATCCACGGCCCCAATCAAAGCCCATGCCTCAAATGATCTTCCTACCCTGTTTTTTCAAAACTAAAAAAGATGCAACAAAGTCATGCCTAATTAGAAAAATACTTGCCTCCTCGACAATGAGGAGGAACCTTGTCCTCCTCACCATTAAAGGTTTGAAAACTCATTATTGTTTAAAAAAATTTATGTTTTTGTATTCATCTCCTTTAGTTGTCAAACATTTAACTGTGAGGAGGGCAAGGTTCCACCTCATTGTTGAGCAGGCAAGTATTTTCCATTTCATAACCAGTGATGAGGAGGCAAGTATTTTCCATTTCATAACCAGTGATGAAACCGTTGGCTAATCCTCAATCTCCAGCAGACTTTAGGCCCATAAGTCTATTCAACCTGAATTATAAAATCATCACGAAATGCATAGTTGAAAGACAGAAAAGAGTACGTTTTATCAATCGAACTATCACTACATTAAGATAACACATATCAATATGATTGCCATCATATTATTGGGGCGTTAATGGAATGACAACTCCAATTTAAATTCCTCCCAAATAGGAATTGACAGTGCTGAGATCTCAACATTAACAAACTTTCCCGAGTACTCGTAGGTTTTTCTGATGGCTGAGTTTCCATTCAAGTTTGCTCCCTTGCTTATCTTTAAACCAAACCCACCCATTTTCTCAGGCGTTTCAAAGCCTATACAGGTCACTTTGTCAATTATCAGTTTTTGGCTCAAAGCAAATCCTCCATTTATAACCTGAGATTTTATCAGTAACTTGTTCCCGACTGCTTCACAATAAAATCTTACCAGGCTCCAATTCCCTCCCTCTTCTCCCATTTCCACCACTTCTCCATCATCCAAGAAAACCTCTCCATTGCTGCTCCGACCATTGCTGACGACTACCAAAAGCTTGAATGCGGTCTCTCGAGCTGCTCGTGTCGTCATCGCATCCCCATGTAATGCTAAAATATTTCCTTCCCTGACATGGACGTTTATATGATCAGCAGGTGCATCAAGAGTGACTTGCTGCCCTGACTTTACACTCACCGACTCAGAATAGTTGAAGAGGCTAAACCAGTTTCCTGCCGGGAAATATGCATCAACAGAAACAGCTCCCTCCTTCAAAACTGGGGAAGTCAATACACCGTTACCCAGTAGGAACTGAGAGTTGATTTCATAGGTCTTGATATCCTGAGGGAATGAGAAGAAGAGAGGACGTGCAATGGGCGTTCCCTTTCTATGTGCCTCATACATCAAAGTGTAGAAGTAAGGAAGTAGGTGATAACGAAGCGCAAGCACCTTCCTGGCTGTTGCAGCTACTGAATCCCAAAGATAGAGCTCTTGACGAATGGAGAATTTGTCAGAATGGTCTCTGGCAAAAGGATAAAATGCACCTAACTGCAAAAGTTGAACAAGTTTTGATTTCAGTGTTTTTGAAAAGAAGACAACTTCAGTGTTTTTGAAAAAAACCATCTTCCAAACAATCCCTAGAATTAAAAAGAAAAAAAATGCTGAGCAAACTTTCACCTGAATCCAACGTCGGCAAAGTTCTTCAGTCGTATCTCCAGAAAATCCACATATGTCAGAACCAACCATTGGAACTCCAAAGAGCCCAAAGTTTAAAATGGATGGGATTGTGTATCCTAAATCGTTCCATGTCGCAGCATTATCTCCAGTCCAATGTGCTGTGTACTTCCCCGAGCCTACAAAAGTTGATCTTGACAGAACAAAAGGCCTTTTGCCTGTTACTTTTACTAAAGAGGCATGAGTAGCCCTCGACTCTAGGAGGCCATATAAGTTATGAGTATTATACTCTGTTAAGTTACCAAAATGAAGACTTGATGCTGGCACAGTATTATTGTTAATGGGACGTAGGACTGCAGCATTGTTAATCTTGTAAGGAGGGTTATCAAGGTTAGAAAGTGGGTTGGTAGAAGAAGTTATAAAATTTGATATCTCATTCATATCAATCCAAAGACCGTCAAATGGAACAATGTCTCGAAATAATTTAATCTCACCACCCCAAAAGATCTCACTGTTTGGATTAACAAAATCAGGGAAGTAAACAGGTCCAGGCCAAACCTTGCCCAAGTATGGGACCCCTTCGTATTTTATAAAGATATCAGCTTTTGTTCCTCGAATGAATGTTCCATAGGTCTTATTTACACTGATACCTGCAGAAAATTAACCGTGTGAGAAAATACATCAGTAGTTGCATTGCGTGTTCTGGAAAAATGCCCAGAAACTCGTCCCATTACTCTCAAGAAATATAAACATAAGCAAGAAAAAAAATGCAAGAAATATTTCCACATAGAAAAACAACTGAACTGCTAAAAAACACACCGGGATCCAAGATGACCACATATTTTTGTCCATTTTGGTGAAGATTATCAACAAATATCTTCATCTTCTCCGCTGGAAAATTGATGGGATCAAAAGTAAAATCCTTATACCCATCCATGTAATCAATGTCTGTCCACATAACTTCAAGAGGAATACCGGCTTTGGCATAACGAGCAACAACATTCTCAACGTCAGAAACATTCTTGTAGCCATAACGACATTGGTGAAATCCTTCACATGAGAAAATTTAGTTTACTTGTTACTTCTGGTGTAGGATGATTAACTGAGAAATGGATAAATTTGAGAGTCAATGTCAATGAATGCATGTGCTTTCCTTTCAATTAAGCGATTAGAGCAAGAAATTATAGCTAGTATCATTTCACATAGGTCAGAATTTTCTTACAATTTTAGAAATATTCAAACTAATCACTTCTTACCTACCCAAGTCAGATTAGGAAAAACTCGAATAAACTCAATTAAAATGTAGAAATATCAGTTTCTATTCAAATTAATTATTTCTGTAAAAGCTACAGAAGCAAACCATTAACCTGATGTCGCAAAAGCTAGAGGAAATAACGTGAATAAATCACTAGTTCTCGTAATCTTCTATCCTATAGAAATTGAAGTCTTCTATTTGATGCACAAATTCAAAAATTAACCGCTCCTGGAAGAAATCACAAGATTATCATACAGACATTAACATTGAGACAATAGGAATAGGAAACTTACCAAATGACCAGTAAGGCACGGGTGCAGGCCGCCCAATAAGCTCAGTATACTGATCTATCACCGATACTGGCGACGGACCCGCAAAGAAGTACAAATCGATGACTCCACCGATAACCTTGTACGTAATCCTATCGCCAGAGTATATAATATCCATGCCATTACTGTTCAGCAACAGAACTCCGTGCGTCGTCCCCGCCACTACTTTWCCATCGCGAGACGGCGACCGGACGTCAATGTAGAAAGGATGCGAACCGTATAGGTTCACATCAACGATGGCCCTGCCGATATCGGCGTTCCAAAGCGTTAGGGTTTTGCTTTTATTCGACACGAGCTTGAACGATTCCCTGGTTTGCTCGCCAATGCCGAACAGAGAGGATCTATCGTTGGGAAGCAAGGAGGAGAGTTGAATGTATTGATCCTTGAAGACGAGAAAAGTCCCCGGATCTGACAAATCCGGAGCCGTGTCGAAGAGGACATCGCCGGACGACCGTCGAAGCACGGAAAAACCGAAAGGCGTGGTGTTGCGGAGGCTGAAAGCGAGGTCGGAAGCGGGATCGGAGATGAAAGCGGTCGCCGGCGAGTCGACGTGGCTCTCCGGCAGGGAACGGAATCGGGAGTTGGATCGGCGGGGAATTATGTTGTCCGGAATCTCCCATCTTTCGCGSGCTGAGTCTGTTATTCGTATTCTCAGCCGGTCTTTCGTCTCGAAACTGCAGGCTCACATCAAATAATTATTATTTTTTGCATTTTTTTCTTATGAAAAGAAACAAAATAATAAATTTATTTTGTGATTATTTAGTTTGAAAGATAAAAATAAAAATACGATCATTCCTTTTGTTTTACTCTCAAAAACTAATTAAAAATAAAATAAAATACTCTCCTTTTTCATTTGGGTCTCTAAATTTTCGTTTAGTTGATTTTAGTTATGGCATCAAAATGTTCATGGTTAAAAATTGACTATTTTACTTTTATTTTTAATTCTATTTTTTCTATCATAATTTTCACACTAAAATTAATGTGCTTTATACTAAAAAGTTGATGTGATACGTAAAATTTATGTCATGATTGTAAAAAAGGAATTAAAATGATTATTTTTTAAAAGCACATAGATCAAAATAAACATTTTTTAAAATACAATGATTAAAATGAACCAATATCCAAAATACAGTACTAAAATAATCTTAATAAAATTAAAGTTTCAGTTCAATTTCTTTTTTAAATCCAATATTACCAATCTTGGAAAGTGGTAGATAAACGACAAACTTTCCATTTTTTTCCCTGAAAAATTGTTTCTTAAATTTTACGGAAACTTTTATTTTCCACCTCTATTCTCTCGTTTAATTTTGTAGTTAAACAATAAATATAGTTCGCTCAACAAATTTATTTACTTTTCACTCTCGCAAATATTGATTAAAAAAAAATTTATTTGCTGTTTAATAAAAAGAAGGAAAAAAAGTCAAATACTGGTTAAGAAAGAAAGTAAAAAAAGAAATAGAAATGAACCTGGCTTGGAGGGTGAGTGTGGGAAGATCGGGTCCATAAACGGAGGAAGAAGTTCCGATGAGGGCGAGATCGGCGGTCAACGACTTTCCGGTGGGATGAAGTTGCACCGATCTGATCCGGTAGCCATGTCCGGCGGGGGGCGGCGGCGGAGGTTGAGCGAGACAGAGGAAGAAGAAGCAAATTAAAATGAAAAAAGAGAGTCCAGACGTGGCTCTGGTTGCAGTTCTCTAGTCATTGTTATGGAGCTGCAAGTGGAGAATGATGCCCACCGGGCCTCTTCTTATCTCCTCCCCAATGTGTCGCTATCCATGATCCATGGATCATGACAAATACAAATCCTCTCTCTTTTTTTTCAACTTTTTTCCTTTAGGTTCATTTTAGTCGCAGCACACAATTTTTGATATTACGAAAACTCTGATAATGTTTATGTTTTAAGAAATATATTAATTTTAGTGTCGTGTTGAAATTGTGATAAGAAAATGATATTAAGAATAAAATTAAATGACCGAAATGATCATGTTTTAAATATAGGACCAAAATGAACATTTTGAAATTATGAAGACTAAAATTAACAAAATTAAGGCGTTGTTTGCTTCACAATATATGGTTAATTTAGGAATCATAATTACGTAAAAAGATGGAAAAGTATAGAATTTACAAAACAATTTAGATGGTACCCATAACACATAAGATACATTAAATGTTAAATAATTATTAAAATATATAACTCGTAAATTGAGAGGAAATCTCTTAAAATCAAATCCCTTAAAATTTACACTTTCCAAAATTGAAAAATCTTTAAACCCCAAATTTTCGAAACCTCCATTCTTCTTTCTCGTCTTTCTTTCCTTCCTCCGACCGTCGGGTTTTCATCCTCCGAACCTCCATTCCTCTTCTCCGACCGTCGTCACCGTCTCCCTTCCTCTCTGACGGCTCCGCTTTTCTTTGTTGCAGATTATTTCATCTCTGGCCGCCTTCGCAAGAGCATTTCATTCTGTCAGTTCCTATTCTCCAATAGTTTATGCCTGCATTCGTCTCCGGTCGACGTCCTCCATTTTTCTCAGTCGCCAGAGCAGTTCATCTCCAATTTGAAGGGTTTTCCACTCCATCTGATAAATTTCAATTTATGATTTCGTTTGTTTGAAATACTGTGTATGTGATTAGATTAGGATATATATTATAACTCAATTTTTATATATCCAGATATATATTGATGGTGATTTAAAACTAAAAATTTGGTGAATATATATTGCCTACAATATTATACCGGTGGATATATACCGTTGGTGATTTTATATCTCGAAAAGTTTAGTTTATGTTATACCGAATATATTGTATATTCGATATGTTATATTTACTACCCTGTCTTATAGAATTTCATGGATATAGTGGTAAAAATACATTTACTTACGTGGGTATAAATTATATCTTACTTAAAAGGTGTTTATACATAATGTTAATAGTAGATTTCAAAAGTATAAGTACAATATATGTTATAGTAACAAAACAGCATGAACATAATTTATACTCATGTATAGAAATAACTAAACTGTAATTTAAAAAAAGAAAATAACATTCCTTCATACTATATTTCCTTCGATGTATAGATAAACTGTGTTTTTCTTCTTCTTTGAGTATTGGCGTCAATCAATACGTGCTTCCCGTTAATTATATTATGTTAAAGGGTAAATAACACAAAAAAATAATAATTAGACATTTGAAAACTAGCGGGAGCCATAGATGACCTCAAACACGGTAGAAATAAGACCTTGTCAAATTAATTAGCATCTAAACCTCATAAAATTGATTTCATTAAAACAAACCTTGCAATCAAACAACACAATAAAACAATGCAAACGACAGTGCAAATATTCAAGCAATATGGGTATGAATGAAGGAATGAATGAACTGTACTTGAAATATATTGGTATAAAGAAGAATCAAGCAGTAGCAGAAATGAGGATGATGATAATCTTTTTAATTAATAATATTGATAAATAAAGAAAATCAATATTTTTAATGAGTAAATTAAGGTGTTGAATGAGTGAATTAAGATATTTGAATTGAAAATTAATATGGGCCCACAATAATTAAAGGAATCATTTATGAAATTAAATATTTTATATTTCAGAAAAAGCAAATAACTATAAAAAAAATGTAAATGCAATAATTAGGGATAAATTCGGAATTTAAACAGATAAGTTTCAAAAATAGTCATCCTAAGATATTATCTCATCAATCTCATTCACATCCCTTATTTCATGGCCCGACGTATGAATTATAATTAATTTACAACTTTTACCCTTTCTCCTTATCTATTAATTAGACTCAAAAATTTTTTAATTAATTCTTTTTTTTTAAAATTCTAATTACGATTCCAAAAAATTTCTGATCAACAACATCAAAGAAATAACATTACGATTCCGATTGATTTTCGTTTCAATTCATTCCCATTACGGTTGAGGATAAGTAAACAATACCTAAAAATACAGTAACCAAAATGAAATTATGGAAACATAGGAATCAAAATATACCAAAACTAAAAGTATAGGAACCAAAGTAGTATTTTAACATTTTCGTTTTTTTATCGGTAAACGAGGTATGTATTTTAGTCAATGGCTCGGCTGCTTCTAAAAGGTATTTTTATTACCAAAATAAAAAGCAAAGACCTTTAAGCTTTTTCACCCACCACACAAAATTGGATGCGATGACTTAAATATTTTATACTTTTAAAAATTTGTTCTCTCCGAGTATGTCTCATATCTCTATTGCTAGTATCTATAAATAGTTAGTATCACATATATATCTAGTATATATATATATTTTTTAATACAATATGTAGGGGTCGGAATCGAACTCACAATCTCTTGATTGTGGATATATGTCAATTACCGCTAAATTATGCTCACTTTGACATTATTAATATATTTTATATTTCTATTACTATTATCTTTTGTATTTCTCTCTATCACTCTGATACCCAAAAAGTAGAAAAAAGAGAGAAAATAAAAAACTGCAGCCGAACAAGAAGAATAACCATTCTCGAGTGTAATCATTACACAAAAGCTGAAAAGCCAGGTAAGATTTATGAAATCCGTTCACAAAAAATATTTAGCTCTGACAATAAAGACCAATCTTCTTCTTACCACTTCTATTTTTAGAGGTTATCTCTTTCGAAAGATATATATGACATCAAATCAAATCTCTCACACACATCAGCTATAAATTGACTAAATCTAACAAAAAAACAATTAACATTTTCATGATTCTCTCCCAAACAAATATTTAAATGAAGCTGATACTCAGAAAAGGTTAAAAAAATTCAAAAATCAAACATATCGCATCAGTGCACAGAAATTTAGGCCATTCTTGAAAATTTCTCCAACCTCTCGTGGACTAAACTGGGACTTGTCGGTGGTCGACGTTGGTTTGAATCTAAAATCGACCCTCACCTATGTTTGTCCAGCGACATTGTTGGAATCACTTTTACTCATGCTAAATTTACTTCCATTTTAAAATAGATAAAATAGAATATTCGATTCACAAGTGAATTTGGAAAAATAAAAAATCGAAAAAATAAAAAATCACTTTAAGTGATTCTCGGTCAGAAAATTAGTCTTTAAAATCGTTATTGTTTTAGTTTTCAAAATTGTTTTTCTTTTCGTCTTATTTTAACTTTTAAGTGATTCTTGGTCAATCACTTGGAGAGTATATTTCCATTAGTCTTATTTTCACCTTAAATTTTGAGAATTTTTTCTCTCTTTTCTAAAGTTTGTGCCACTCTCTAATTTTTTCTTCCTACTCTTGCTTTTTCAAAACAAAAAATGATGCAACAAAACTTATGCCTCAATATCATGAACAGTAATGAAACCATTGCTAATCCTCAATCTCCAGCAGAATTTAGGCCCATAAGTCTATTCAACCTGCAGTATAAAATAATCACGAAATGCATAGTTGAAAGACTGAAAAGAGTCTGTTTTGTCAATCGAGCTATCACTTTATTAAGATAACACATATCATTATGATTGCCATCATATTATTATCATATTATTGGGGCGTTAATGGAATGTCAACTCCAATTTGAATTCCTCCCAAATAGGAATTGACAGTGCTGAGATCTTAACATTAACAAACTTTCCCGAGTACTCGTAGGTTTTTCTGATGGCTGAGTTTCCATTCAAGTTTGCTCCTTTGCTTATCTTTAAACCAAACCCACCCATTTTCTTAGGCCTTTCAAAACCTATAAAGGCCACTTTGTCAATTATCAGTTTTTGGCTCAATGCAAATCCTCCATTTATAACCTGAGATTTGATCAGTAACTTACTCCCAACTGCTTTACTATGAAATCTTACCAGACTCCAATTTCCTCCCTTCTCTCCCATTTCCACAACTTCTCCATCATCCAAGAAAACCTCTCCACTGCTGCTTTGACCATTGCTGACGACTACCAAGAGCTTGAATGCGGTCTTTCGGGCTGCTCGTGTCGTCATCGCCTCCCCATGTAACGCCAAAATATTTCCTTCCCTGACGTGGACGTTTATATGTTCAGCAGGTGCATCAAGAGTGACTTGCTGCCCTGACTTTACACTCACTGATTCCGAATAATTGAAGAGGCTAAACCAGTTTCCTGCCGGGAAATATGCATCAACAGAAATAGCTCCCTCCTTCAAAACTGGAGAAATCAATACACCTTTACCAAGTAGAAACTGAGAGTTGATTTCATAGGTCTTGATATCCTGAGGGAATGAGAAGAAGAGAGGGCGTGCAATGGGCGTTCCCTTTCTATGTGCCTCATACATCAAAGTGTAGAAGTAAGGAAGTAGGCGATAACGAAGCGCAAGCACCTTCTTGGCCGTTGCAGCGACTGAATCCCAAAGATAGAGCTCTTGACGAATGTAGAATTTATCAGAATGATCTCTGGCAAAAGGGTAAAATGCACCTAACTGCAAAAGTTGAACAAGTTTTGATTTCAGTAAGTTCTACCATCTTCAAAGCTATTGCTGCGGAACTTTCCTACCAAAAGAAGGCAACTTCAGTGTTTTGGAAAAAACCATCTTCCAAACATTGTCTATAATTAAAAAGAAGAAAATGTTGAGCGAACTTTCACCTGAATCCAACGTCGGCAGAGCTCTTCGGTCGTATTTCCAAAAAATCCACATATGTCAGAACCAACCATTGGAATTCCAAAGAGTCCAAAGTTTAAAATGGATGGAATTGTGTATCCTAAATCATTCCATGTCGCAGCATTATCTCCAGTCCAATGAGCTGTGTACTTCCCCGAGCCTACAAAAGTTGATCTTGACAGAACAAAAGGCCTTTTGCCCGTTACTTTTACTAAAGAGGCATGAGTAGCCCTTGACTCTAGGAGACCATATAAGTTATGAGTATTATACTCTGTCAAGTTACCAAAATGAAGACTTGATGCTGGCACAGTCTCATTGTTAATGGAACGTAATACTGCAGCATTGTTAATCTCGTAAGGAGGGTTATCAAGTTTAGAAAATGGGCTGGTAGAAGAAGTTATAAGATTTGATATCTCATTCATATCAATCCAAAGACCGTCAAACGGAACAATATCTCGAAATAATTTAATCTCACCACCCCAAAATATCTCAGTGTTTGGATTAACAAAATCAGGGAAGTAAACAGGTCCAGGCCAAACCTTGCCCAAGTATGGAACCCTGTCATATTTTACAAATATATCAGCTTTTGCTCCTCGGATGAATGTTCCATATGTCTTATTTACACTGATACCTGCAGGACATAACAGTGTGAGAAAATACATTAGTTGCACTGTTTGTAGACCGGAAAAATGTCAAGAAACTTGTCACATTACTCCCAATAAATAGAAACAGATGGAAGAAAGGAAAATGAAATAAATATTTCCATATATGAAAATAATTGCACTGCTAAAAAACACACCGGGATCCAAGATGAGCACATATTTTTGTCCATTTTGGTGAAGGTTATCAACAAATTTCTTCATCTTCTCCACTGGAAAATTGATGGGATCAAAAGTAAAATCTTTAAACCCATCCATGTAATCAATGTCTGTCCACATAACTTCAAGAGGTATACCGGCTTTGGCATAATGAGCGACAACACTCTCAATGTCAGAAACGTTCTTGTAGCCAAAATGACATTGGTGAAATCCTTCACGTAGGAAATTTTAGTTTACATGTTACTCGTTCCATAGGATGATTAAAAAAGAAATGAACAGCTCAACTAAATGATAAATTAGAGTCTCAATTCTCAATGAATGCTCGAGCTTTCCTTTTAACAAATTGATTAGAGCAAGCAATTAGCTAGTATCAGTTCACTTGGGTCTGAATTTGCTTTTAAGTTATATCAATATTCAATAATCTCTTTCTTATCTATCCACTCAGAGTCAGGAAAAACTCAATTAAACAATACAAAATCAAAGGTCGAAATATCAGTTTCAATTCAAATTCTTCATTTCTTGTAAAAGTCTTCTATTCAATATAAATTGAAGTTTTATGTTTGATGCACAATTGCAGAAAGAAAGAACCTGCAAATTCAAAAGCTAACTGCTTCCCGAAAGAGACTAAATCCAAAGATAACCCCACAGACATCAAGAATGATCAGTAGGAACACTTACCAAATGACCAATAGGGCATGGGTGCAGGCCGCCCAATAAGCTCAGTATACTGATCCATCACCGAGATCGGTGACGGACCCGCAAAGAAGTACAAATCAATGATTCCACCGATAACCTTGTACGTAATCCTATCGCCAGAGTATATAATATCCATGCCATTACTATTCAGCAGCATAACTCCATGGGTCGTCCCTGCCGTCACTTTACCATCGCGAGACGGCGACCGGACGTCGATGTAGAACGGATGCGAACCGTAGAGGTTGACATCAACATTGACGCTGCCGATGTCGGCGTTCCAAAGCGTTAGGGTTTTGGTTTTATTCGGCACGAGCTTGAACGATTCCCTGGTTTGCTCGCCAATGCCAAACAGAGAGGATCTATCCTTGGGAAGCGAGGAGGATAGTTGAATGTATTGATCCTTGAAGACGAGAAAAGTCCCCGGATCGGAGAAATCG